ACGGAGAATGGAGAAAGTTTTAGATGGTTGGAAACATCAAGTATTTTTGCATAGAAAAAAATATGACTTTTCCACAGCCCAGTCTACGGCAGTGTGGAGAAAGCTATATGGCAATGTGGAGAGAGTTTTCTATGTCCCCCTTTCTCCCTTTTATGAGAGAGAGGGAAAACGAAACAAAGGCGTTTTTGACAGTGTGATCTTCCTTGCCCCAGCCTTCCAGTTAGCTAGGATTACGGGTCCATATTCAGGATGGCCCAGGAACTGAACTTGGTCCTCCCATGTTGTCTCCAGCCTCCCCAGCAGTGGTGCCACTGTGGCTAGGCCCTGGAAAAAGCTTTCTAAACAGAAATGCAGAGATCGTGAGGTTGGAGCAGAGTAAGTGAGGCAAATAGAAGCCGAGGATATCAAAGAAATAATGAAGGCGGATGGTGGAGGGCCTTGTAGATGAACAGAAAACCTGCTTTTACTGAGATGAAGAGCCACTTGAGGATTTTAAATAGGAGAATGATTTGCTCTTACGTAGGTTTTGAAAGGATCACTCTAGCTTTGGCGTTGAGAATAGCTGTAGAGAAGGCAGATGCAGAAGCAAGGAGTCCTGGTAGGGGGCTGGTAGGGGGCTGGTAGGGGTTGGTTGCAATAGTCCAGGCAAGTGATGATGACTTGGACCAGAATGGTAGTGGCTAAAATTGTGAGGAGTGACCAGATTCTTGAGATATAGATCTGCATCAATAGATATAGATATATGTATTTTTTTCTTTAAGAGTGTTTTAAAGTTTATTTATTTCTTCCATGAGAGACAACACCCCCAAGAGGGTCCTGACACTATGTGACCTATCCCCAGCCTCAGCCAACCCAGATCATGGGTGTGTGTACACGTGGCTTACTCAGGAAGGTCTCTGCACACCAACTCAGAACCTTCCCACATGGGTCAGCCTCACGGCATGTTACATTTGACCACTCTAGTACCATCTGGCCCCAGATTCCAGATGTATTTTGATGGCAGAGGTGACGTAGCAGAAATAGGGTGAGAGAGATGAAGAATGACTCCCAGGTTTTGGGGCTAAGCAACTGGAAGGATGGAATTGTCATTAATGGAGATGGAAGAGAGAAGCAGGTTTGGCCCATTACCTGTCGTGATACGTTTGTGATTTCTACTAGATGTCCAAGGGATCTCGACTCAGGATTTGTACACATAAGGGCCTGAAATTTAGGAGAGCATTTGGAGCTCGAGATATAAATTTGGAAGGCATCAGTGTACAGTTGGTTTTTAAAGTCATGAGACTTAAAGATGATCAGAACCCAGGTCTCCTTCTTGGCCCCTTAACATTGAATAATCATGCTAAGTCAGCTTAATTGCCAAGAACAAAAATGGTTCAATATTTGAAGTCTAGCAGGGTAATTCACAGTAAAAACAGAAAGACAATAATGATCATTTCAGTAGATGCAGAAAAGGTATTTGAGGGGACCAACAGGTGGCATGGTGGTTAAGATGCTGGACGCTCCCATATGGCTGACCATAGTTTGAGTTCTGGACCTGGTGGCTTCCTTTCTCACTTTCCCCCTCTCTCTATCTCTTTTGCTCTCTCTCTCTCTCTGGTCAAATTAAAAATAAATGAATGAATGAATAAATAAATAAATTATTCTTTCAAAAAAATGGTATTTGATTTTTAAAAACCCATGTATGGATTTTAAAAATTTTTAGCAAGCTAGTGGCTAGATTAATCCTTAATCTGATTCAGAGTATTTGCTGAACAGCCTCTGTACTCCTGCCCTAGCTTTCCTCCCCATTCCCATCACATACATGTTGAACCTGTTGCCAGTTTGGTCTTCGTCTTGTATCTGGAGTACTTCTTTAGAATTTCTTATGTCCAGTGTTGGGGAGAAGGTGGAGTGCTTCCCCTGCACCCCCTCAGTGTTTCCCTCCTTTGTAGAGGGGACTTGGTTAACACAATGCTCTTATCTGCCATTCTATCTTAACTTTTCCTCATCAAGGTTAAGAACATAACCTAATGAGGGGTGAGGTTAATTGCCTTTGTCCCATGTTTCTCAATTGAGTGGAACCAATCTGTCAATGTTCGATAGACTGAATGTGGGAAGAGGTTGTTCTCTTTATCCTGACTACACCAGTGACCAGAGGAATCATCAGTTTTGGTGAAACTATCTGCTGTGTATAATCGCACATTTTCTTGGCCCAGGGAATTAGCAAGCCCATTTAGGCTATCACAGAAAGCCATATCTTCTGGGGCCAGCAGGTGGCATGGTCACTAAGGTGCTGGATCCCTCATAGCCAAGTGGTCTGAGTCCTAGACCCTCTGGCTTGAAAAACACACTGGACATGTTTATGTGTATGCTCAAAATTCTGAGAGAAGAGTGGAGGAGAAGGAATTGTGGCATTGTCATCCCCCTGGAGGGATGATTTCTTTTTCCCGTTAGTGAGTGCATGCACCCTATGGAAGAAAACAAAAAGAACTTAATGTACCTTGCAACTGATTTGTCTCTCTTGGCCTCATTTTCCAGAGCCTAGGTTCAGAACTTACGTGCTATTTATGTAGCTCTTGCAAAAATCCCAACAGCTAGATCCAGTGTTAGGCCAGCATTCAAAACCTGCCATATTTGGATCTTGGAGAAGGAGAGTCTGGCCATGGGATGCTTGACCGCGGAGGACAGCCAAAACCTGCGAGGTGATCAGAGCCGAGGGCAGTCACCCTCAAGCACTTTCCCACATGCACAGTGCACTGTCAGTGTCAGGGTTCACTGCTGCCAACATTCTCAACCAGGAAGCCGGGAGTGCACACTCACACTCCTAGGACAGCAGGATGGGGAAGGGAGCGTTGTATGTCAATTAAACGATAAAACAGGCAGCTTTTACCGTGTCCCTCCAGGGGAGCCCTTTGCGTTCAGTCAGCGCTAGAAGCAGTGACCTAGGCTTTGATCCTCAGCTTTCAAGTTCAGAAACTCGATTTTGTCAGCTCATCCAGTGATAATTGGGCTCTAGAGTATTGAGTCACACAGCTCACAGTCACAGGAGGCTGATTTATAATCCAGAATGTCAATTAACCAATTTAATATGGAAAGTACAGCTTTCCAGTGCTCGAACTACTCGTGACCTCAGTTCAAACCACCCTAACTAGCATGTAGATGACTGGAAAACCAAATTAGTAACCAATGATGAGAGGTTAAGAAATGGAACTGACTGACAGAGACCTGGTTTTCCATCTCAGTCCTCACACCAACTTTGATCTTGGGCAAGTCAGTCTTTTAGAATCTCTGAACTCTGAGACAAGACTGTCTGCATCCGCAAATTGCCAGGGTTGATTAATATGGAAGTACTTTGTTAATTATAAATGTTTTTCACATATAAGAAACTTCCCCAGACTTAGATTCTTTTCAAGGATATATCATCAATCCCAGGGTTTGCAGCATGCTCTATGCTCTATTGGAGAACACATTATTTTTTGTAATCTTGGCACTCAGGCCAGATGCCGTGGCTCAATGCCAAATTCCTGCTTTCCAACTTGACTCCTTCCTGTGAGCGTGTCTTCCACACTCACTATGTGGCTTCTAAATCGCACACATTTACTGATGACCTCTGGGAGATAGGCTGCTGTTCTGGGTAGCACCACAGTTTCTGCCTCCGTGGGTCTCAGGTGGGGACTGAGAATATGCTTGTCTAACAAGTACCCAAGTGATTCGATCTAGAACCAGCTCGCACTTGCAGAACCACCAATGGAGTCCAGGTGATCATGGCCTCAGCTGATGCTGAGATTCTGCAGCCGCCCTGCACTCAGGTCTGCACCGGAGGGCCTGTCCTTTCTCTGCTGGGTTAGGAGCACTCAGATCTCTGCTGTCAGGATCAGCCCAAGCTGCATGTCTCTCAGCTGTGTAACACTCGCTCCTCTCTGGCTTCATCACTCTGTTTTACTGAAGAATTCAGAATTTTGAAAAGTTATTTAAAAGACACAATGTCTAGGGTCAGCAGGTGGCTTGGTGGTTAAGATGCTGGACCCCCACATGGCTGACTACAGTTTCAGTCCTGGACCCGGTGGCTTGCTTTCTCACTTTCTCTCTCTCTCTCTCTCATGAGTGTGTATACCCTATAACAGATTTTAAAAAAAATAGTAAGAATAAATAAAATTCATGCTGAATTGAAGCCAGGATACCCTGGAGGAACGTGAGAGCCCTAGACAGGGTGTTAGCAATGAAATGGCAGGAAATAGCTATAGTACTTGACAGATTTCATCATGTCAAATCAAATCACAGATCTTCAAAAAGTTCGTGGAAAATGACTATTCTAAAAACTACACATGGATTTTTTTTTTTTAGAGTGTATTTTTTCAAGTTTTTCAATAGCATTTCTTAATTGGCAACAGTTCTTTTTTTTTTTTTAAGGATTTATTTAACTTTATTTATCTGTTTGTTTATTTATTAATATTTGACCAACGAGGGACAGAGTGAGAGAGAGAGAGAGAGAAAGAAAGTGAGAAAGCAAGCTGCCAGGTCCAGGATTCGAACCACAGTCAGTCACATGGAAGTCCAGCACCCTTAACCACCATGCCACCTGCTGGCCCTTAACAATACATAAAACAATGCTGTGTCTTAAGGTTCATGTTGTCTTAGATTCAATGAAGTATGACAACTGAATGTGAATAAGAAATATCAAAGGCAAAGTTTTAAACCGTGTAATCAGAGGAACTCCTTATTCCTAAAAAAAAAAAAAAAAAAAAAAAAAAAAAGAAAGAGGGTGTTTCCTTGAGCCTTGTATGACAATCTAACCAAATCTTCTATTTGAGCAGTGATCCATAGACAATATTGATGTTCGTCTACTTTCTGCACTCGAACTTACTGATAAAATAAGAGGAAGTACTATTTTTTAAAGATGTTTTCCCTTTATTCATGATAAACCACGTACATGAGAGAGAGATAGAGACAAAGATAGGAAGCACCACAGGATCTGGTCATGCTGCAATCCCCTCCCTTCAGTCTAGTCTGTCAGATCTTGGGCACTCACATACATGCCCAGCATGCTTCAGGCCAGCCAGGCTGGGGATTTGAACAGTGTTCGCCATATGGGATCCAGCTCCACTTAAGCAGTGCATTACCACTGAGCCACACAGCTGGCCCTAGAGGAAATACTTATTAATGACAATTTTAAATATGAACATGTGTTTCACCCTCAAGAAACCAACATAACTGATGGGGAAGACCAAGCTGGCACTGAAAGGAGTATGTGATACTTAGGGCTGGGTGAAATGTTGTTTTAGGATCCAGCCGATATTTAAATATATTAAAACATCAGTCATTTGAATAATCGAAACTTCTTCAAATACTGGCTCACTTCTTCCTTGGGGTAAGGCCTGAGTGCAATGCAAGTGGCTATATTCTCTGGCTGTTCCAGCCACAGCATGTGGTCAATGTTCTTCTGTTGCAGAGTCTCAGCCAACAACTTTAGGGTGGTCTCATCTGGGGCCTACAAGGAGCAAAACACAGATTAGAGTCCATTTAGGAAGTGTCAAAGGCCCAAATAAATAATAGAATAAAATGAGGGGTCCCCCTTCACTGACAGTGGAGAAACTGCTTTACCACGGGAAGAGCTGTAGAGCAAGTTTTGTTCCCTGGTTCACCATTCACTCTCTGCTTAGGGTTGGGAGAGAAGGACAGGCTTAACATTCCAGTTTATAAAAATCAAGATTTTTCTCTTCCCTCTGAGACACTGTATTGTCCGTAATTATGTTCATACACTTTCTTAGTTCTTCTATGTACCTGTAACCGCTATCCCCAACCCTTCATCCAGCTCTGACTTTAAAGGCTGATTACTGGATTTCTACCTTTTTTGGGGAGGTGGTGGGAGAGGTTTTTGCTATAGGGTACGTGCGCTCACCAGAGAGACAGAGAGACAGAAAGGGAGAAATCACCCCTCAGGAGGGATGGTCACGCTGCAATCCCTTCTCCTCCATTCTCCTCTCGGAATCTTGGGCACGCACGCACACATGACTGGCATGAGTTTAAGCCACCAGATCCAGTACTCAAATCGCAGTCAACACATGGGAGTCCAGCAACATAGCCATTATGCCAACTGCTGGTCCCTCTGGATTTCTAAAATCACATACAACTCCACCTCACTCCTCCCCTCTCATCCTACCTCACTCAATCCTTAAAGTATTTTCTTTTGCTGGAATAGCTCCCACCTGTTTACTCAAGCAAACTATTCTCTAATATCTTTTAGAAAGTGTTTCTGGGGCATGGCCATCCACTCTAGGGGGTGATTTCTCACTTTCTCTGTTGAGCACACATGACCTATAGCAAAAAAAAAAAAAAAATTGTTTCTGTGTCATCCTTACTACCCACTCCCCAAGACCGAATCCCATTACATTAAGTCTTAAGTCTAGGAACCAGCAGTTAGCGTAATGGCTATGTTGCTGGACTCCCATGTAGTCGACCGCAGTTCACGTCCCGGACCCGGTGGCTTAAACTCACGCCGGGCGCATGTGCGTGCGTGCCCAAGATCCCGAGAGGAGAAGGGAGGAGAAAGGATTGCGGCGTGACCATCCCCCCTGGGGGGGGATTTCTCTCTTTGTCTCTCTGTCTCTGTCTCTCTGGCGAGTGCATGCACCCTATAGCAAAAACCTCTCAAAAAAAAAAAAAAAGCCTTAAGTCTATAACTCAGAAAATAAAACTGAGTATGTTATTTTGCATAACATGTTTTTTTTTGTTTTTGTTTTGTTTTGGCCTATGAAAATAGAGCCACTAAGAAAAGCAGAGACTTGTTTTATCAAAATGAGATTAATTCCAGGATTATCACTCTTAATATATTGAGTCCTTTAGACAGAGCCCTGCTGTCCTTGCCAGCTATCCATGAAAGAATTACCTCACCTCTCCACCTGAGTTCCAGTTTATTTTAAACTGATTTTTATCCTCATCATACAAGATGTGCTTAATGTAGAAAATCTTAAAATACAGAGAAACATTAGGAAATAACCCTTACCCCACCCTCCACTACTTAATATCTACATGTATTTCCCTGGTTTTTCCTTTTGAAATTTGGATCATTTTACATACAGAATATAGTTAAATTAGCATCATATCATGAGCACTCTTCCATACCACTAAATATACCTAACTCATAGTAGCTTTTTAACAACTCATTATAGGGGCCAGCAGGTGGTGTGGTGGTTAAGGCACTGGACTCCCACATAGCTGACTGCAGTTTGAGTCCCAGACCCTGGCAGCTTCTCTCTCTCCCTCCCTCTCTGATAAGTGCATGTGTCCTATAGCAAATTAAAATAATAATGATAATAAAATTAAATAATTCTTTAAAAAAAGAAAACAGCCCATTATAAAGACACAGATTAATTTAACCAATCCCCAGAATTGGAAATTTAATCATTTCTAATATTTTACCAATATAGAGTGCTGTGAACATACTGTGCAAAGTTCTTTGGGTGCATCTGATTCTTTTTTTAGGATATATTTCTAGCAGCAGAACTGACAGTCAAAGGGTAATCTGTTTGCTCATCTGTAAAAAGGACCTTCCTGCTGTTTTAAAAGCTGTACCAAACTATACCCCTGGTGTCTAGTGTTTCTGTTGCTAGATTTGATTTATACTAGGGTTTTGAGCATTTATTTTCCCAAATAATTTGGTGTCACTCACAGATAAATACTTAAGTTTGACTGCTTTGCACTGTCATGGCCAAAAGAACCGTGTGGGGGACCAGCAGGTGGCATGGTGGTTAAGGCGCTGGACACTACCACATAGCCAAACACGGTTTGAGTCCCAGACCTGGTGTCTTGTTTTCTCACTTTCTCTCTCTCTCTGGTCAAATTCAACTAAATGAATGAATAAGCAAAATTAAATAAGAACCGTGTGTCATCCCTTCTGGGTCTATTTCCACTGGGGCGCAGTAGTTTGGGACATGGCTTGATACTTGAGGAGGGTTTGCACTTTTTTCCATTTCTTTATAATTTCTTATTTAATTTTTGTACAGTGTGGGGTACAATGTGATTTAGCGCATGGCTTTAAAACCCGGCCAGTGCACAGGTAGAAACGTAGCGTCACCCTCCACCAGCCTCGGCCCTGGACAGCATCTACTGAGGGACCCAGGAGCCACCAGTTAGTTCCCAGAGAGCCCAGAGGGTGCAGAGAAGCCTTAATTATGGCTCCGGTGTCCACCGCACAAAGGCAGGCCCTGCCCACGGGAAGACTTCCTAGGCAAGAGCTGAAGCCCTAGACTACGTTCCAAAATCTCAAAGTTAGGTTCCTCCCTATTCAGCCGTGCTCCCTCCACGAAGTTACGCCCCTGGGCACAAGATCACACCGACTTCCGGCCTCCTGTTCCCAGAGCCCCGCCCCCTGGCCTCACCTCAAGGACCACCTTGCGCATGCGCCCGAGCTCCTGGAGGTAAGCCGCGGTGTGAGGGTGGTCGCGGTGAAGGTGTAAGGCCGCGGTGGCTGCGTGGCAGGCTTGCGCTACCACCGCCCCCGCCGGCCAGGACAGCGGCGCCTGCGAGAGATCCTTTCGTAACACCAAGTATTGTACGAGGACCTGCGACTCCGCCCCAGGGGCCGCCATCTTCCTGACCACCCGGAAGACTAGACCTGCTCCCCGGTGCATGTTGGGATCAGGGCGGGGCCCTGAGCACCGCCATGTTTTTGTACGGTGTGAGCGCAAGGCATGCCGGGACGGCTGGATTGGTTTTTAAAGGCGGGAACGGCGGGAATTTTCGTTTCTGTCCTGAGTGAGCAAGAGAGGAGGTAGGGGGGAAGGGAAACCCAAGGCTTGATGAAACCGTGACCGGGGTGGAGGGCTGAACGGCCTTTTATTGAAGCCTGTTCCGTGGCCAAGGACACTCTGCAGGCCTTGAGTGAACCGTGAGTTCCGGAGCGCCCCGGGACGGGTGGTGGGCATGGACACAGCTGACTCGGACCCGGAACGTCTGTCAGGGAGGGGGCGGGTCTTAGCGGAGACCCTCGGGTTATCCCGGGCCTAGGGGCGTGCCCGAGGGGGCTGTGCTCTGGTTGTCTGGATTTGTCTGAATGGGAATAGGTGTGACTTCGTTGTTGTTTTTCTTTACCAGCGAGGACATCTAGGTCCCTCCTACCATTTGCCTGTACAAGCTCATGAGAAGACTCTTGGGAACTAGAGGCGATGGAGCAGGCGAATATTTTACGGCAAGAAGGTGATTCCAAAGGAGGTATTAAAGGGTCACCTTCTTCCCTTTACCTCTGCAGCCCGAAGATGGTCCGCAGGCTGAAAGAGCCCTCTCTCCTGTTACGGAATACTGTACTAACATTGAAGACATAGAGGAACAGAAAACCAAGATTCTTTTGCCTGTTCTAGTTTGTTTATTTATTTACTTACATTTTTTGAATTTACATTTAATCACTATATGTCTTTACAGTGTACAATACGGTTTTTACCACCATGAATAGTGAAGTCAAAGATATTACTCTGTATGTTACCATCAACAGAAATCGTTTTATTTTTGTGTCGTTAAACGTTTTGTTTTTCCTGATTCCCCTCCCACAACAAAGATTATTCTGCAAGAAAAAAATTACTTCATTTCTACACTTCCACATCTTTTGAAACTCAATACGCTCAATGCATATTCTGAATCTTGGACATGCTTAGTGTTAGGTTATTCTAAGACCACCAAGTAGATACACTAAGAAAGCAGGCAGATATTCTGGGCTAAAGCGCAGGTGAGAAATACGAAACAGAGGTATATATTTGTGAAACGTTCACATATAGATGGTCATTAAGGCTGTAGGCATGGATGAGTTTTTTTCAGCAGAGAAGACATCCTAGGTCTCAGCTTCAGAGAATTCTAGCATGTAATGGTCCAGAAAAAAATGACCCTACAAAGTGGAAAGAGGGTTAGAGAGGTAAAGGAAGCTTTATAAAAGCAAGACTTTTGTCTCTTGTTCATCACTATGTTCCCAGTGCCTGAAATAGTGCTTGGGACAGAATAGATGCTTTATAACCTTTGTTGAATGAGGAAAACGAGGAGGCTGGTATGATAGGATTCAAGAAAAGAGAATATTTAAGGAAGTTAGTGATTAGTAGAATCATACTACTGTGAAGTGGGGTAAAAGGGAATTTGGAAAATGTCCAGTAGGTTCAGCAACATGGACATCATCGTCGAAGTTGGAGTAGTTTTGTGGAAGAATTAAAGTCAGTTTAGAATGAGTTGAAGTGTGAATAAAAGCTAAGGAAATGGAGAAAGTTAAGTGAAAGCAACGCTGTTAAGTAGTTTACCTAGAAAGGAAAAGGGAGAAAAAGAAAGCTAGAGAGGGACTTGTGGTCAGTAATATGCATGTGTGTCAGTAGACAGGTGAGATTTGAGCATGTGTTCAAGGAAGCAGTTGAGAGGAAACATAAAACAGAGAAAGGGATACTGGATAATCTAGGGTTCCTGGGTAAGCAAGAGGGGATAGGTATCAATGATAAAAGTAAAATAAGGAGACTCGCATGTAGTGTGTGTCCATTTTTACTTAATCTCACACTGCCTTATTTTTGTTTTTGTTTCTTTTCTGGGATATAAACCAGCCATAAGAGATTCCAGGGTTTTAGTCTTGATTGGATAGGTGAATGAGGTAAGTTTTTGGACTTTGCTCCAATACAAGGAAAGAGCGTTATTTTCATATATGTAGTGCATCCTTATGAACTCTACAGAATAGATGCTGGCTCTACTTAAACCCAGTTAAACAAAGTCTGGTAGTTAAAAGTAAAATTTTCACAGGAGATTTTTATCTAGTTTGTGGTATAGCCATTGAATCATTTTTTAGTATTCAGCCTAAGAAGTTTGTGATCTTTGATTTCAGTTGTCAGTTCCTCTGGTTTTATAAATGTAGTAGATGTCTAACAGTTCAGCTAGCCACAAGGTTCTGGAAAAGAGTCATACTGTTCTCTAAAATGCTTCATGTTGCCAGAGTTAGATATCCTTAGCTTCAGGCTAGCCGGGTGGCATGGTGGTTAAGGCAGCTGAATCCCACATGGTCAAGTGCGTGGTTTGAGTCCTGGACCTGGTGGCTTGGGAAATACGTTGGCCAAATGCTGGGCATCTTTTTGTACATGCATACTCAAAATCTCAAGAAGAGCAGAGGAGAAGGATTTGCGTGTGGCCGTCCCTCATGGGGAGTAATTTCTCACTTTTCCTCTCTATTTCCATCAAGAGCATACACCCTATAGTGGGGAAATAAGAAAATAAATCCTTGGCATCTTGTGAAATTCTCTTTATACTTTCTTTAGGTGTTTTGGCCCACTTGGAAAGACTCGAGACTCTAGAGAGTCAAAGGAACAGGTCCCATAAAAGGTCTGCAAAGCTACAGGAAGCACAGGCAGTGGAAAGTGCTCTTCTGACCGAGATTCATGAACTGAGACGTCTGCGGGATAAGCTGAGGGCTGAAGTGAAGGAACAGCAAGCCAGAGTGAGTAGAAGGATGATGATGGCGACTCTCCTAGGGCGTATAGAACAAACAGGTCAGAATTGGCAGATCTGTGTAATAAGTTTTACTTGGGATCTTACTGGATGAATTTTAGTCCTTCATGCCTCAAATAATTAAACCAGTAGAATTGCAGCTGATACCACTGTAACTAACAACTGTCAGGCAATCCCGATGAACCAGGCAAGTGTTTCAAACCAGTTTAACTTGCCTCTAGACATCTAAACTTGTTTGTTCAAGTTCAGCTTGACTCGAGCTATTGGTTCTGTTGTTATTAGCACCATATTTCTGTCACCCAGACTCTAAAACCTAACAGGAAACTTTGGCCCTTCCCTCTTTGCAGTTTTCTTTTTAGGCAAGGTCCAGTCAGCAAGCCCTTTCAAGTATTCTTTTTTATTGTACTCGTGCTTCCTTTCTTCACTGCCGAAACTCAAGAATTAGCCATATATGTACTAAATAATTTACTAGGTGATTTGGATTCTAGGATTATTATAGTAATCTGCTGGCAAATCCCTCAGCTAGTATTTCTACTTTTCTAATAAATCTTGCACAGTTAAGAAAATCCTTCATGAAATAAAGTCATTTCCCTGCTCAAAAACTTTCAGTAACCATTGATTGCCCCTGGGATAAAATCAGCCTTCCTTTTTCTTACCTTCCCTCTTTCCCCTCCTTTTCTTCCTTTCTCTCTCTTCCTCCCTTTTTAACACTTATTTACAAAATGAGTGTAACCAGGTATCTACAGTGCACATCACAGTATACTTATGTTATTGATGCCTTAGAAGTCACCTTTTGCCTTCTCATTTTTCTTTTTTTGAAAGATTTTTACCATATGGTGCATGTGTTCGCCAGAAAGACAGAATGCGAGAAATCATTCCCCAGGGGGAATGGCCATACTACAATCCCTTCTTCTCTTGGGATTTTGGGCATGCATATGCACATGCCCGGTGTGAGTTTCAAGCACTGGGTCTAGGACTTGAATTGCATGGGAGTCAAAAACCTTAACCAAGAGACCAGCATTTGGCATAATGGCTATGTCACTGGACTCCCATGTAGTCTACCATGGTTCAAGTCCTGGACCCGGTGGCTTAAACTCACACTGGGTGCTTGTGCGTTCATGCCCAAGATCCCAAGAGGAGAAGGGAGAAGAAGGGATTGTGGTGTGGCCACCCCCCCCCCATGTGATTTCTAATGTTCTGTCTCTCTGTCTATGTCTTTCTGATGAGTGCATGCGCTCTATAGGAAAAACCTCTCAAAAAAAAAACCTAACCACTACTACACCTGCTGGTCCCCCTAGTCATATTTCTCAGGGTAATCACTATTACTTTTGTTACCGTAGATTTGTTTTGCCTATTTTCTAACTTTATATAAATATAAACATTATAAATTTTTTATGCCTGTCTTCTTTCACTGGGTGTTATGTCTGTCAGATTCATCCATACTGTTGCTTGTAGTGTCATTCTTTTTTATTATTGCATAGTCATGACATTTTATGAATATACTGTAATTTACCTATTATACCCTTGATGACATTTGGGCTATTGGATTAGTTTCACTTTGGAATGATTATGAATATTGCCATTGTGAACATTTTGCTCCTGTCTTTTGGTATAAAAACACACTTTTCTATTAGGTGTATACTCATTAGAATTGCTGAGTCATAGGGTATGCGAAGTAGCTTCAGTCAATATTGCCAATTTTAAAAGTGATGTAGCACTTTTACATTCCCAGCATCCGTAAGATTACCATTGTTTTGTATCTTTACCAATACTCAGTATTGTCAATTCAAAAAATTTGTCACTTTGGGGACCAACAGGTGGTGTGGTTTGGGTGCTAGACATTCCCACATGGCCAACCACAGTTTGAGTCCCTCGCCTTGTGGCTTGCTTTGTCACTTTACCTCTCTATCTCTTTGTCTGTCTCTGGCCAAATTAAAATAAGTGAATGAATAAAATTTTAAAAAATTGTCATTTTGGTGGAACAGTCAACTTAAAGCTGTTCAGATTTACTATTCCATCTTGGGTCACTTTTGGTAAATTCGATTTGTCAAAGAATTTGGCCATTTCATGTAAATTCTCATATTTAAAGTTGTTTGCAACTTTTTCTTTCTTTTTTCTTTTTAAAGCATTTCTTATCTATTTATTTGTTGTGATTTTTAGGCCACTGGTTCCGGGATTTGAGCTGTGGTGGGCCATGTGGGAATCCAACACCTTAACCACCATGCCTACTTGCTGGCCCTATTTGAAACTTCTTAAAACAACTATCTTGCAACTAGGACCCATTTGTTATGTCTCGTGTTTTATTTTGATATTGGTACTTTGTGCTTACTCTCAATTTTTTCTCTCCTTAAATGAGTTGTGTTACATTTCATCACTTTTTTGCCTTTTTCAAACAACCAACTATTCAACTTTGTCGATTTTCTCCATTTATTCTGTATTTTTGTTGATTTCTGCTCAATATTATTTCCTTCCTTCTACTCTCTTTGGATTTAGGTTTCTGTTCTTTTAGCTTCTTAAGGTTATAGATTTTCTCCCTATCCATGGCTTTGGCTGTATTCTACAAGTTTTGATATGTCATTTTTAATTATTATTTCAATCCAAAGTACTTTTTTGTTGTTTTCTTGTATTCGTGGGTTTTTTTTTTTTTTTTTTATAGGTTTTTGCTATAGAGTGCATGCGCTCTCCAGAAAGACAGAGAGACACAGAGAGACAGAAAATGAGAAATCACCCCCCTGGGGGGGATGGCCACGCTGCAATCCCTTCTCCTCCATTCTCTTCTTGGGGTCTTGGGCACACACGCACACGCGCCCGGTGTGAGTCTAAGCCACCGGATCCAGGATTCAAACCGCAGTCAACTACATGGGAGCCCAACAACATAGCCATTACGCTAACTGCTGGTTCCTCTCGTATTAGTTTTTATTGTTGAGTTGGATTTTTCTTTCTTCTTTTTTTTCTTTTGTCAGACATAGCATGTTCTCACTTTTGGAAAAACTGAAAGTGTTTTTATTTTCTCTGCACTTGGGAACACAAGTCTTTTGTAATTATACTTGGAAGAGAAACAGAATGGAGGGAGTTATGAGAGAAATGCTATGCATTACCCCAACATTGTCCCATATGAACCTTTCAACTTCAAGGACACAGAATCTACCCCGGCAGTTCAAAATGTTTTAAATTTCAATTGTCTTTTCCTCTTTGGCCCATGGGCTTACTTTAAAAGTGTGTTGCAGGTGCCTTGGTGGTTAAGGTGCTGGACTCCCACATGGGTGACCATGGTTTGAGTTCTGGACCTGGTGGGTTACTATCTCACTCTCTTTCTCTACTTGTGTCTCTTCCTGGTCAATCAGAAGAATGGTAATAAAAATAAAATGAGTAATTCTTTTTTGAGGGGGTGGATTTTCGCAATAGGGTATGTGCATTTGCTGGAGAGATGGAGAGAGGGAGACAGAAAGTGAGAAATCACCTCCTCAAGGGACCAGTAGTTGGCGTAACGTCTATGTCACTGGACTCCCACGTAGTTGACCGCAGTTCGCGTCCCAGACCTGGTGGCTTAAAACTCACGCCGGGCACGTTTGCGTGCGTGCCCAGGATCCTGGGAGAATGGAGGAGAAGAGATCGCAGCATGGCCATCCCCCCTGGGGGTTGATTTCTCGCTTTCTGTCTCTCTCTGTCTGTCTGGCAAGTGCACGCGCCCTATAGTGAAAACCTCTCCAAAAAATAAAAAAGAAATCACCTCCTCAATGGATGGGCACACACATCTGGTGTGAGTTTTAAGCTGCCAGGTCCCAAGCTCAAACCATGGTCAACTGCATGGGAGCCCAGCTATGTAACCATTACGCCATCTGCTGGCCCCTAAAATGAATAATTCTCTTTTTTTGGATAAGTTTTTGCTATGGATCATGTCCGTTCACCAGAGAGACAGAAAGCAAGAAATCACCCCCCAGGTTGGATGGCCATGCCACAATCTCTTCTCCATTCTCCTCTCCGAATCTTGGGCACTCATGCACACACACCCAGCATGAGTTCAAGCCACTGGGTCCGGGACTCGAACCATGGTTGACTACATGGGAGTCCAGCAACCACAGCCATTACGCCAATTGCTGGTTCTAATAATTCTTTAAAAAAAAAAATCATTTCACATACTTTATATCCTTACTGATTTGTCTATTTTATTAAGGTTTGTTTAAATTTCCCATTGTGATTGTGAATCTATTTCTTTTCTTTTTCTGTTTTTCTGTATAAAGTATGAACAGTGTTATGATGTCTTTCTGTTTTGTTAAATTTTTATTATTATGAAATGGTCTTTTTTACTTTCAGTTAAACTTCTTGCCTTGAAGTCTACTTTGTCAAATGCTAGTACACCAACTCTTTCAGATTAGCATGGTTAATTTTTTCCTTTTTATTTTCAGTCTTTCAGTGTCCTTATATTTATAATATTTCTCTTGTAAGTAGTATGTAATTACATATTTTTCATCTAGTCTGATAATCTTTATTTTTCATTTTTATTTAAATTTTATTTAGATTTTTAGAGAGATTTTTGCTATAGGGTGCATGCAGTCACCAGAGAGAGAGAGAAATCAAGAAATCACCTCCTGGGGGAGGATGGCCACACCACAGTCCCTTCTCCATTCTCCTCCTGGAATTTTGGGCTTGTACGCACACATGCCCTGCATGAGTTCCAAGCCTCTGAGTCCAGGATTCAAACTGCAGTCGGCCATGTGGGACTCCAGTGCCTCTACCACTATGCCACCTGCTGGCCCCAGTCTATGAACTTTAAATGTGATTGCTGATATATTTGGATCCACCTACCATTTTATTATTCTGTTGTCTTACACTGCAGAACCATTCATTCCTTTATAGAGTTATACATGTATTCACTCTTTTCAGTGCTTCTTACTACTTCTTGCGTATCCATCTGGGATTAAATAACTCCTTTTGGCACTTATTTTAGTGCAGGTCTGATGTCAATAAATTCTTTTTATCTGAAAACATTTTTGTTTCACTATATTTTTCTCTTTTTTTTTTAAAGAGATTTTTGCTTTAGGGCAGGTACACTCACCAGAGAGACAGAGGGAGACTGACAAATCACTCTCCAGGGAGGATGGCCATGCTGCATTCCTCTCTCCTCCATTTTCCTCTCGGAAATGGAGGATTTCAGGCAGTCACACACGTGTTTGGTGTGAGTTTCAGGCCACATGGTCCGGGACTCTACCCATGGCCAACCATGTGAGAATCCAGTGCTTTAACCACCATGCCACCTGCTTGCCCCATATTTTTTATTTTTTAAAGGATATGTTCACTGGATGTAGAGTTATAAATTCTAAGTTATTTTCCTTCATACTTTCAGTATATTATTTGGTTGCTTTCTAGGTGTGTGTTTCTGTCAGATGTTAGTCTTATTAGTCATGTGTTAGTCTTTCTGTTTGTGTCTTTGTTCCTTCTCACCTTTTGTTCTTTTTAAAAGATTGTCTTTCGGGAACCAGCAGTTAGCGTAATGGCTATGTTGCTGGACTCCCATGTAGTTGACCGTGGTTTGCGTCCCGGACCCGGTGGCTTAAAACTCACACCGGGCACATGTGCATGCGTGCCCAAGATCCCGAGAGGAGAATGGAGGAGAAGGGATTGCGGCGTGACCATCCCCCCTGGGGGGTGATTTCTCGCTTTCTGTCTCTATGTCTCTCTCTGTCTGTCTGGCGAATGCACGCACCCTATAGCGAAAAAAACCTCTCCAAAAAAAGAAAAAAGAAAAAAAAAAGATTGTCTTTCATTTTCAGCAATTTAATATGATGTGACTAGGCATGGTTTTCCTTCATTTTGCCTGATGAGTCTCTTAATTTTTTTTTTTTTTTGAAGAGGTTTTTGCTATAGGGCGCATGCGTTTGCCAGACAGGGAGAGACAGAGAGACAGAAATTGAGAAATCACCCGCCACGGGGGATGGCCACGCCTCAGTCCCTTCTCCTCCATTCTCCTCTTGGGATCTTGGGCACGCACACACACGCGCCCAGTGTGAGTTTAAGCCACCGGGTCCAGGACGTGAACCGCGGTCGACTACATGGGAGTCCAGCAATATAACCATTATGCCAACTGCTAGTCCCATGAGCCTCTTAAATTTGAGCTCCTTAAATTAATTACTTGATGTTTTACATCGGCTTTGGAAAATTAGTCTGGTATCTTTTACTTCTGTGGTTTCCATGTATGAGGGGGTTGGGGGTGTGTCCATGTTCTGTCTTTATTTTCTAATCTTATGTTTTTTCCCTGTGCTTTAATCTGGATATGAAGGGCTGTCCTTAGGGACTAGGGGCTTAGGGAACTGGATCCTGTATGACTGACCATGCAATTCAAATCTCAGTCCCTAGTGGCTTGCAAAACATGTTGGGCACGTGCATGCATACTCCAATCCTGATAGGATGGAGTAATGGAGGATTCCAGTGTTACCACACCCCATTGGGAAGCACTTTCTCCCTTTCCTTTTTTCTTTGTCTCTCTCTAGCAGGTACACATAGTCTCTGGCAAATTAAAAGTAAAAAGTCTGGGGACTGGCAGGGGGTGTGGTGGTTAGGGTACTGGACTCCCACATGGCTGACTGTGGTTCAAGTCCCGGACCTAAAGGCTTGCTTTCTCACTTTCTCTCTTTCTCTTTCTGGAAATTTTTTTTTAAATAATAATATCTTTTTTAAAAAAAAGTCTGGGAACCAGCAGTTAGCGTAATGGCTAT